AACAACAGGAAAAACTCAGCCATTAGCAGAACCTGAAAATCAAACTGCAAAGGCTCTGGCATAAACCAGTACAGGTGGTCCCAGTGGTCATCGRCACACTGGATGCCGTGCCAAAAAGATCTCAGCCGGCATTTKGAAATAATAAACATTGACAAAACCATGATCTGTCAACTGCAAAAGGCCACCTTACTTGGATCTGCGCACATCATTCAAAAATACATCACACAGACCTAAATGCTTGGGAAGTGTTCGATTTGTGATTTTGTTATATGAAGTCCAGCACATATATTTCATTTGCTGTATCATACTGTGTTTTTGTGCCAGCAAGGAAGAATTGCAAGGAGGATCCTGCTTCTGATTGTCTCATCACTCTGCCAATTGTCAAGAGAACAGATCTCCATTGCTCCCAGTGGCTGCCACCTAGTAAGTCAGGACTGAGTATATTTGGCTAGGAGGTGCTACTTAATAAACGATACCAGTAGCTGATTAGGATCTCAGCCCTAATCTTTCAAACACGTTCTCTATGAAAACAACACAGTACACAATAAATCTTAATGCGGCAGACAGGAGGGATGGATAGATGACTCCATGCCAGGAAAAATGAAGCAATATCCTCCTGTTGCATTAGAAGACAACAAACTGCTATGTAGTGTTAGCTCTCAACAGCCCATTTTTCAAGCGCATTACTTCTTTCAGAACCACTGCCCTTGTGGTCTCTTTTTGTCTGTTGCCATTGTTTATGCTGGAGTAATTCTGCGAATGTAGTGCAACAATACGATTGTGGTCAATATTATGACAAACACATAATATTTAATCAGCCCTTTGTTTAGTAATCAGTTTCAGCAGTGTGGTGTCTTTTGCCACCTGTACATTATATAGTTTTTCTTAAAAAAACATTCAATATTTCTGTTTTTACACTTATAATTTAACAGATTTATACAGGTACCACCAAAACAATATATTCACTTTAACATTTAGAGGACCTGGATTTCGAAGGTGTCCTACACTTGTAATTTGTAAACAGAGGAGGACCCTTCCTCAGTGTCCTACCATTGAGGTCAATCCACTGCATGAGACCATAAGAGAGAGCCTTCTTCGCAATGGCATCATAATTGTGGGTGCCCTCCATTTCGGGACCTAGTTGGCACCAATGCTGATTTTGTTTAGATACCAAGGGAAAAACATCTTTGTTTTCCCTTGGGATCTTTGACCCTCAATGATTTATCTCAAAATCTTAATGGACATAGTCTTGAAATTTTTATACCTGTTTTAATAAATTGTATTGAACTTGTTTGCTTTAATTTGAACGCCACCCTGAAATATTTTGATATAGGGTGGAAGAGTAATACTTTAATACATACATACATAAAAATGTGGTCCTTTTTTGTACTTATTTTCTAACTGTAGAGGCTGGTCTATGACTGTAATCATGTAACAATACAATCAACATTCAGAAGATGTATAAACTCATGTTATTGCACAGCAACCACACATTAGATTACAAAATACGTTTCCCATTACATTCTGCTCACTGCCAAACACACACAGAGTCTGTTTCCAATATCTCCCTCTCATTCTCTCTCTCTGCCATGATTTTAGGCATTCAGACTGTTCTTGCTCTTTATTGCACAAAACGGTTTATTGCCACACCCCCCCCCCCCCCCCCCCCCCCCCCCCCCGCCTTAAAACCACAAAGAGGCCATGTTCACAAATTTCAAAAAATAAAGAACATAAAGGAGGCTAAGATTTTGTAATGATGTAGTATGCAGCAGAGTTTGGAAAGTTACTATTTTGGACTACAAATCCCAGAATTCTTCAGTTTTTTTTCTTGTTCATGTCAGGAGTGACTTGAGAAACTGCAAGTCGTTTCTGGTGTGAGAGAATTGGCCATCTGCAAGGATGTTGCCCAGAGGACACTTGGATGTGTTATCATCCTGCGGGAGGCTTCTCTCATGACCCTGCATGAGAAGCTGGAGCTGACAGATGGGAGCTCACCCTAATCCCCGGTCAGCAGTATTGCCGGTAAAACAGTTTAAACCGTTACTTCACCAGGGGCTCCTAATTTCTCAGTCATGTTTGCAGCGGGGAGCTAGAGAATTGCAACCCAAAGGAGTTTCCTTTCCAAGCTCTTTTGGGTGATATTTCAACAAAAGATACAACAATTAAATACAAAACCATGATAAAGGCTGAATTTATCTGTAATGTATTACGTTTAATAATACTAAGCTAAATATATGGTAAGTTTCAAAAAATCATTACCATGTCATGAGAAAGCTGTCTTTGGATTACTTGCCTAACCAACAGGAAGTATTTGTGACAAATACATTATCTGTTCTTCAGGAGCAAGTGATAAAATAGATGCCTGCTATAGATGCAGGCGAAACATCAGGAAAGAATGCTTCAGAAACATGGCCACACAGCCCAGAAAACTTACAACAATCCAATGATTCTGGCCAGGAAATCCTTCGACAATACATTTTAACAATTGTCCATGTTTTCCTGACTTGAGGTTAAAGGATTGTTTTGCTTTCAATAAGGTTACTATTCACTTATGCATAGTGACTGGTGTGCTTGTGAGATGGCAAGCCAACTTATGGCAACCTCATAAATTCCATAGGACTTCCTTATGCAAGGAATATTCCCAAATACTTTGCCACTGCCTTCTTGAGAAATACAGCCTAGTTTCTGGTGGAGGCTCCCCATCCAAATACACATCAGACCTGACCTTGCTTTGTTTCCAAGATCAGACAAGGATATGATACCTTCAGGGTTTCTTTTTAAATGATTCACTGCCACTAAATTGTATAATCTATGTCACATAGGCTGTAAATTCTAATTACCCCGTAAAAAGACCTTGTTTTGCTCCATTTCAAGAGTAGGAATCCTGAGCCACAATTTCCTAGAGATTTCAGGTTCGTTTGAGATGATTTGTACATTGTAATTCAGTAGTTTAAAACTTCTGATTCTCCTCATTTGGGGCTACCACTCATCTAATCCTTTGCTATTTGCCATGTTGATTTCATCCTTTTGGAAACAGAAGTTCAAAATATAAGGAAGAGCTCCTCATCTATGGTTTCATTTTTTTCTTGTATTTTAGGCATTGTTCTTGGTTTATAGGTGTAACAGTACAACAAAAGGTAAAGGTTTTCCCCTGACATTAAGTCTAGTCGTGTCCGACTTTGGGGGTTGGTGCTTATCTCCAGTTCTAAACCAAAGAGCCGAAGTTGTCCATAGACACCTCCAAGATCATGTGGCCAGCATGACTGCATGGAGTGCCGTTACCTTCCGGTCGGAGCGGTACCTATTGATCCACTCATATTTGCATGTTTTTGAACTGCTAGGTTGGCAAGAACTGGTGTTAACAGCGGGAGCTCACCCCGCTCCCCAGATTTGAATCAGCGGCCTTTTGGTCCGCAAGTTCAACAGCTCAATGGTTTAACCCACATTTGGGGAAAATATGACATTATTTTGTTGGAATGTTCTTCTAGGACAGGCATGGGCAACAGCCGGAAGGCTGTTAGGAATGGTGGGAGTTGGAGTCCAAAACACCTGGAGGGCCCAAGTTTGCCCATGCCTGCTTTAGAAGATACTGAAAGTAACAGAAGATACAGAAGAAACCAGAGTGCATTTTCGAGCGCCTTCCTTGAAAACCATCTTATGTTCCAATAACAGAAGAAGGTTTTCATGAAGGCAGCTGAAAATGCACTCTGGCTTCTTTTGTCCTTAAGCTGGTTTTGAAGATCTATTGAAATTTGATATAGTCCACATGTTTTGCCACTATCACAACATAAAAACCTCTCTTCTTTCAGCATTTTGTGTTTAGCCTACATAGATTCAGCATCTGCAATGGTGTTGCATTTTTTACATTACCATCTTTCACCAAAATCACCACCTTTTCGTTTTTGCAGGTTTTATTGACTCAGTAATGTTTTTCCCTTTGAGTGATTTTAAGGGGTACAGACAGCTTTTTCCTGAGATAGGTTTTGTACTTGGAATTTCTGCACAACAGCCAGAAAAACAGCGGATATCCTTTCTCTTGCATGGGGATACAACCTTGGGACAATATATATCTTGCAGAATGTCTGTCTGCTTTGCAGCTGTTAAAGGCACAGTCAAAACCAGGAAAAGAGAGAGCAAGAGAGAGAGGAAGAGAGAGATTGGATATGGCAACAGTACTGGCTCCAAATAAATGCTCCTGTGCTATGATGGGATCCTTTCAGCTCTTTAGATATTGTAAGACTGTAAATTCAAGCATTTAACACCACTGGAACTGTCCTTCAATATCTGGGAATCTGAAGGATTCTCATTTCTGGGTTGCTGTGAGTTTTTCAGGCTGTATGGCCACATTCCAAAAGCATTCTCTCCTGATGTTTTGCCCACATCTATGGCAGGCATCCTCAGAGGTGGTGAGGTCTGCTGGAAACATGGCAAGTGAGGTTTATATATCTGTGGAAAGTCCAGGGTGGGAGAAAGAATTTTAGTCTGCTTGAGGCAAATGTGGGAAAGCTTTTGTGTGTGTGCGTGAGGAATGATTGAGAAACTGCAAGTCACTTCTGGTGTGATAGAAGTGGCCTTCTGCAAGGAAATTGCTCAGGAGATGCCTGGATGTTTTGATGCTTTACCATCCTTGTGGGAGGCGTCTCTCATGTCCCCACATGGAGCGCTGGAGCTGACAGAGGGAGCTCATCCGTGCTCTCCCCAGATTCGAACCTCCAACCTGTCGGTCTTCAGTCCTGTCAGCACAAGAATTTAACCCATTGCACCACCTAACACCTCCCAACAAAGGATTCCCCCATGCAAGAACCAGCCAGTCTTTGAATCTGCAAGGCCATTCAATGCTAATCAGGGTGACCAATTGCAAAATTCACACTTGTCTCAAGCAGACCAGAGTTCTGTCTCCCACCCTGGTCATCATTCCACAGATATATAAACCTCACTTGTCTAGTTTCCATCAGACCTCACAACCTCTGAGGATGCCCGCCATAAATGTGGGTGAAACATCAGGAGAGAATGCTTCTGGGACATGGTCATACAGCCTGGAAAACTCACAGCAACCCAGTGATTCCGGCCATGAAAGCCTTTGACAACACATTGATTCTCATTTCTGCTGCTATGGTTTTCTGTTTGCCACAATTCCAGATGTGTGTCCTTTTGGATCCACAGTTTTGCAAACAGGGCACAGAAGGCTGATGTAGTTACAGCTATGACTGATGTTGATCCCATCATTGCCTTCATTGGCTCAGATAACATATTTTATTTCATTATAAACAAATCCATTTTCCATCAGAGGGTTCACACAAGAATGTCCCTTAAATGTTTTCTTTTACAGAATTCCTTTTTATAAAAAAACCCAATGACATTTTTTCCAGGATATGAATTCAAAAACACTATCAAATCAATCGTGATGTGTGACGACAACATCTATCTTTAACAAAAGAAGCAATGGAACGATGGGCATACACACTTTTGTGCTTTGAAACAGTGGAGGAATTACTAGAAAAGTATAAACATGTTCTATGTGCATTTCCCAATGCAGAATTACAATCTCATGTGCACCAAACTTGAAAATGTCAGACTTCAAAACTGAAGGTCAGAGCAAAACAAAGAGAAGGTCCTGTAAAGCACACAAATGTCCATGACATTATCTTACTGCACGGATCTATGTTGACACTAGTGATAAATGTTAAATTGACCAAGCTTATTTTGTGAAAATAATTCTTGCAGTCTTGAACACTCTGCGCACTTGCCCTTACATATTGGAGCGTCACAGGGCAGCATGAGTTGCGGCTTTGGCAAACTACACAACCAGAAGGAATTGTTAGTCACCAAGTGCGTGGGGAAAGTGGCTAATGCAAGACTGCCTGAAAAAACTCTTTGGAAAACTGAGTGTCTTCAGATTTATTACTGCGGAATGATCTTGTTTATTGCAAAATTACTCACTCGTAGGATGTAGAATTGTAAACACAAAGTACACAGTATTAGCGGAACTGTTAAAAGATTCCTGTGGGGTTTTCAGTTTGGCTTACATTAACAGAAACCTCATTCTAGCTCTTGCTGATTCTTTTCATGAAGGCTGAAAGGGAAACCACTTTTGGCAAAGGTAGAAAAAAAACATGCAGCACAATTGGTCTCACCTATGGGGGAGGGGGGCTCATTTCTTTTATTCCAAGAATTTTTGGGGAAACTTTATTTCCCATAATTAAACCAGAAATTGATGATTTGGGGCCCTTCAGATTTCCTTGGACTCCAGCTCTCAGCAGCTTGAGCCAGTGTGACTAAAGTTCGGGAATGATAGGAAATGGAAACCAGCACCTGAAAGGTGAAAGGTTGCTCTTTCCAAAATAGTAGAGCGGTGTTTCTCAACCTTCCTAATGCCACGACCCCTTAATGCAGTTCCTCATGTTGTAGTGACCTCATGTTGTGGTGACCCCCAACCATAAAATTATTTTTGTTGCTACTTCATAACTGTCATTTTGCTACTGTTGTGAATTGTAATGTAAATATCTGATATGCAGGATGTATTTTCATTCACTGGACCAAATTTGGCACAAATACCCAAAATACCAAAATTTGAATACTGGTGGGGTTGGGAGGGATTGATTTTGTCATTTGGGAGTTGTAGTTGCTGGGATTGATAGCTCACCTACAATCAAAGAGCATTCTGAACTGCACCAATGATGGAATTGAACCAAACTTGGCACACAGAACTCCCATGACCAACAGAAAATGCTGGAAGTGTTTGGTGGACATTGACCTTGAGTTTTGGAATTGTAGTTCACCTACATCCAGAGAGAACTGTGGACTCAAACCATGATGGATCTGGTCCAAACTTGGCACAAATATCCAGTTTGCCCAAATATGCACACTGGTGGAGTTTGGGGAAAATAGACCTTGACATTTGGAAGTTGTAGTTGCTGGGATTTATAGTTCACCTACAGTCAAAGAGCATTCTGAACCCCACCAACCCCACTTGGCCCAATTCAATATAGTATTGGGCCAAACTTCCCACACAGAAGCCCATGACCAACAGAAAATACTGTGTTTTCGAGATGGTTTTTGGTGACCTCTCTGACACCCCCTCGCAACCCCCCCAGGGGTCCTAACCCCCAGGTTGAGAAACACTGAAGTAGAGTCTCGCTTATTCAACATAAACAGGCTGGCAGGACGTTGGTTAAACAAAAATGTTGGATAAAAAGGAGGGATTAATGAAAAACCTATTAAACGTCAAATTATATTATGATTTTACAAATTAAGCACCAAAACATCATGTTTTACAACAAATTAACAGAAAAAGCAGTTCAATACATGTTAAAGTTATGTTGTGATTACTATATTTATGAATTTAGCACCAAAACAGACAAGGGTTCTTTTTTTCTCCCACCCTGGATAGGAGGTAAGACTGTGTTGGATAATACCGAACGTTGGGTGAGCGAAGGTTAGATAAGCGAGACTCTACTGTATAAATAAGGATTGCTTCTGACGTTACATCTTTAAACAAATGTCTCTGAATGATCTCCTTCATGATATAAGAAACCCAAGCCTGCGAATCTTATGCAGCTATGGATCAATGTTTTCTCCTGATTTTGAATGAACCTCTGGATAGCAAATCTATTCTCACTGATACTAAACTGTAAGGGCGATGTTGTGCATTCTCACAAAACCTGTAGTCTGGATGGGAGCCTAGATGCTATTTCTGATATCACCTGTTGAATTGTACAGAAGACCATATTGTAATTAAAGCCACACATCTTCTGATTTAGACAGCATGTGTCTAAGATACACACTGCAATAACACATCGGAAACCGTCTCTGCCTTCATAGAATGAATACAGAATTCATTCACTTTGGAAATAGTAGCATTTCCAATGCTACTATTTTCCAAGGTCAATGCCAATGTTTCTAATACGGTTGTGGATTAGCTCTTGATCTGGAGTTCGACAGGAATTCATCCTATGGCTTAACCCCTATTGATTAGAGCAGACCCACTGAATCAATTGGATTTAATTGCATGTTGCACCACCATTCGAGAACTCATTCAGCAGGTCTACTCTAGTGGGGATAAACCAACAGGACTCCAGCATATGTATTTTCAAGTTGCTCATATGGAAATGGATCTTCATTTGATGAGACAGAAAAATCGCATCTCCACATACATAGGAGCCAGTATGGTGTTATCTGCAGAATTCTGGACTGGGATATGTGGAATCCCATTGCGGGTCCCAGTCCGCACTGAGCTATAAAACTCACTGGGTGACCCTGGGCCATTCCCTGACTCATTCTCTCAGCCTGACCAACCTCACAGGCTTGGAAGGAGGAGGACAGCAGTGTCCATTCCCTTGAGCCCACTGGAAGAGAGAGAAGATGCAAATGCAACAATCAGTAAGCAAATAAATATGCAAATATAAATAAATAAATAAATAAATAAATAAATAAATATCTCCTTTAAAGACTTGGCACAATGCCTGGAGGAACTATAGGAGGAAATGAGAGTAGTTGCATAAGCCAAAAAAGAAAAAAGAAAAGAACTGAATCCAAGCAACACTTAACAGTTGGCATAAAATCATTTTCCTTCCAGGGATGTTCCTGAAACTACAACAGCATGGTTCATTTTGGTCAATGAGAATCTACTTTCTGAAAGGTCAAGACCTCCTGTGGCTTCAATGCAAACCTGTTATGTACAACGTAATGAAAGTAACACAACCACACAACACCAGTGCTAAAGAGACAACTCCATCCTCCCTCTGAATCAAACATCACTGGGTGATCTCGCTCTTGCAGACAGGTTCGAAGGGATGCAGCCGCAGCAGATGAGCCAAAGTGCCTTCTGTATTTCTTGATTTCGGAAAGCATATATTACAGGGTTAATAATAGAATTGTACGTGGCTGGAAGGAGGGTAGCATAGGTATATATAGAAGGATAGGTGTAGTCGGCTATTAAGGAATACAGTGTGAAAGGCATCCAGCAAGCAGCAAAGGTTCCCAGGATAATGGCTAAAGTTGACACTCCTTTCCGAGTCGTCACATAGTGGGAAGTGGCCAGGAAGTGGTGCTGCAAAGCAATCTGATGGGCATGTCGCATCACAATTTTGCAGATCTGAATGTACAGCTGCAGCATGAGAGCAAACATGAGCAAGAAAGAGACAGAGAGGACCGCCGCGTTGTTTTTGGTCAGCGGCCGGATCACGCTGCAGGTGGACTCGTCTTGGAGGCAATTCCAGCCCATAATAGGCAGCAGCCCAATGCAGATGGAAGCTCCCCAGAGCAAAATGAGCATGACATAGGTGAAAGTGACAGTCCTCTCCGAATTGTAAGTCAGAGCGTAATAGAGGGAGAGGTACCGGTCGACAGTGATAGCCAGCAAACTGCAGACCGAAGCTGAGAAAGAGGCAACAATCAGCCCAACCGTGACCAGCTTGGTAGACTCCGATTGGAGAAGATAGGCAAAAATGAAATTGAAGATCAATCCAATCCCGGCTAAGAGGTCTGCTAAAGCCAGGCTGCCGATTAGGAGGAACATTGGGGCACGAAGGCTGGGGTTGTGGAAGATAATCAGGACCACCACCGCATTCTCACAGGAGATCAAGGTTCCCGAAGTACACAAGACAATATCCCAAGGGTTGACTATAAAGTCCGGCTCTGGTTCATTGACGGGGATTAGGGAGGTGACCGAGGCAGCCGAAACATTTTCCGTCCAACCAACGTCTAAGCGATCCTGAGGCAGCCACGTTACATTAACCGTCGGCTCTTCGGTCATATTTAAAGCGGTCCTCTTCAACGAAAAGATGAAATAATGCATTTATTCATTCATTCCTTTGTCATGTTAACATTCTGTCGAGAAGCATGCAATCTCTATACCTTAAAGGTCAAAATGGGGTGCCGGGCTGGCACAGGTTACATAAACATGACTGCACAAAAATGATGAGAGGGGAGGCAGAATTTAAGACTGCATGGAATGAAGGAACAAGGAAGGGCAAAATGGGCAAAATATCATTGTTGTTTTGCCTTCATAGCAAAGGCCCCAAAGGCAAGGGCTGGAGCAGAGAGGGTGTTGTCCTCCTGAGGAAAATGCTTACTATTGGAGAGCAGGGATTCCAAAGCACCCCAAACACCCCAAGTTTCAAGGGGGGAACATTGGCTGCCTCTATAGTTCTCATGGTAGTTCCTTAAGGAATAACCCCATCCATTCAAGCATAAGAGAATATTATTATGATCACCATCATCATCAGTGTCTCTGTTGACCTCGATGAACCCAGGCGGAGAAGGGGAAATAAGGTCCCCTGAACTGCCACCAGCATCCCTGCTCTGGGGCCCTTTGGGGGACCCTTCTGGAGGAGCCCACCTCCAGCTTGGAGGGAGAGGCAGGTGACCCGAGCGAGGGGGGCACGAATGTCATGCAGGCGGATGGCGGGAGGATGGCTTGGCAGCATGCCCTCCCTTCCCCGGCAGACGCATGGATCATGGAATGGATGGATGGAGAGAGAGAGAGAGAGAGGGGGGGGGCACACACACAAGAGACAGAGAGACGGCCACAGAACAGCCCGGGCTGTTGGTCACCTTGGCTTCCCCTCTGGTGGAAGAGGAGGAGGAAGAGGAAGAGGAAGAGGTGGCTCCTGGCTTCCTGCCTAGACACCCAGGAGCGTGGATCCTAGGAATCCTGCTGCCGCCGGCGCCTGCATCCTCCTCCAAAGGAAGCGGCCGCCCAGGTGCAAAGATGCAGGCGCCTGGTGCATCTGGCGGGCGCGCGCCCGGTTCCCTCCCTGCGCGCTCACGACACACACAGAGAGATGGCAGGAAGGGAAGGAAGGAAGGGAAGGAGGCGTCGGTGGGAAAGGTAGGGCTRGCGGGAGCGCGCAAGGGCGGGGGAAAGGCAAGGGCTGGGAGCGCGCAAGAGAGAGAGGAGCGCACCTGCTGCGCGCCCCCGCGGCTGCCTTTCCCTCCGAGGAAAGAGTGGGCTTCTGCCTCCTTCCCCGGGCCCTGACTCACACCTCAGGGTGTCACCTTGAAGGGCTCACTCTCCACCTCTTGTGTGTGTGTGTATTTGACGTATTATTTATCTATTATTAACAGTGACAAATGCAAAATACTCCACTTGGCACAAAAAAATGAAATGCAAAGATACAGAATGGGGGATTATGCCTGATTCGAGAGCAGTACCTGTGAAAAAGATCTTGGAGTCCTCGTGGACAACAAGTTAAATGTGAACCAACAATGTGATGCTGCAGCAAAAAAAAGCCAAGATGACATTGGTGACTACATGTTTTAATGGTTTTTATATATGTTTTTATATTGTTATGTTGACTGTTTTTAATCGCACTTTTATTAATACATGGCATCAAATTGTGCCAATCTGTAACCCGCCTTGAGTCACCGTATGGTTGAGAAAGGGAGGCTATAAATGTCGTAAATAAATCATAGAATCATAGAGTTGGAAGAGACCTCATGGGCCATCCAGTCCAACACTCTGCCAAGAAGCAGAAAATTGCATTCAAAGCACCCCCGACAGATGGCCATCCAGCCTCTGTTTAAAAGCTTCAAAAGAAGGAGCCTTTACCACACTCCAGAGCAGGGAGTTTCACTGCTGAACAGCTCTCACAGTTCTTCCTAATGTTTAGATGGAATCTCCTTTCTTGTAGTTTGAAGCCATTGTCCCGCGTCCTAGTCTCCAGGGTAGCAGAAAACAAGTTTGTTCCCGCCTCCCTATGACTTCCTCTCACATATTTATACATGGCTATCATGTCTCCTCTCAGCCTTCTCTTCTGCAGGCTAAACCTGCCCAGCATTTTAAGCTGCTCTTCATAGGACTTGTTCTCTGGATCCTTGATCATTTTAGTCGCCCTCCTCTGGACACATTCCAGCTTGTCAACATCTCCCTTCAATTGTGGTGCCCAGAACTGGACACAATATTCCAGGTGTGGTCTGACTAAGGCAGAATAGAGGGGTAGCATGACTTCCCTGGATCTAGACATTAGACTCCTATTGATGCAGGCTAAAATCCCATTGGCATTTTTTGCTGCCGCATGACATTGTTGGCTCATGTTTAACTTGTTCCCCATGAGGACTCCAAGATCTTGTTCACACGTACTGCTCTCGAGCCAGGCATCCCCCATTCTGTATCTTTGCATTTCATTTTTTTCTGCTTAAAATGGAGTATCTTATATTTGTCCCTGTTGAACTTCATTTTGTTAGTTTTGGCCAAGCATCTCTCCATTCTGTTAAGATCATTTTGAATTCTGCTCCTGTCCTCTGGAGTATTGGCTATCCCAATTTGGTCCTGTCCACAAACTTGATGATCATGCCTTCTAACCTTTCATTTAAGTCATCCAGAACAAACTTCAGAACAAAATTCGCAAAGCAAACCATGACTTTGCCATGTTATGTAATGGCATAATTTTACTACAGCACTGCATATAATAAGACTTGAGCATCCACAAATTTGGGTATTTTTGAGGGCTCCTGGAACCAAATCCCTGCAAATACACCCCTTCCAATTCAAAGCACACCTGTGCTTTGTCTGCTTCAGCATTTACTTTCAAATGGTAACCCAGAGGCAAGAATCTATAACTGCATTTCATTGGAAAGATTGGTTCAGAGAGGGTTTGACCTTGCCCTCCTGCCCCTCTATGAGGAGGAGTGTCTGCGACTTTGCCCAAGGTCACTCAATGGGTTTCATGGCTTAATGAGGATTTGAATTCTGGTCTCCCAGAGTCCTAGTCCATTACACTACAACACTGTGTGAAGGCTCTCATACAAAGACATAAAGGAATCCTATAGTGTCTTTGAAACTAAGATAAACTTTCATTGCATCAGATGAAGCGGATGGAGCCCCCCAAAAACTATGCTGGGAATTTATTCTTCTCAGTTAATCTGCAAAATTACTCTCCCAAAAAGTATTCCAATGTCAGAATCGGATTCTTTTCCAGTTGGATAGTATCTCCTTTCACCATGACCCCCACATTTGGGTAATTTTCCAGTTTTTTTATGACCCCCGCCCCATTCTGAAACATTGGAATGTCTGAAAGGATCATCTGAGCACATGCAGAGCGTCTCCCATTTTGCTCTCCTTTGTTGTTGTTGCTGTTGTTATAATATTTATTTAAATCCCACTTTCCTCTCCTAAAGGAGACTCAAAGTGGCCATCATGCTTGTTGTTGTCTAGCCATAAGCATCACACACTGGTTCTTTTACTCACTCCTTGCCTGACATTAGAAAGAAAGTTTGTTTTCTGGTCAGAGAATTTGGCAAATCTGCAAAGATGATCCAGATACATCCCAAGTTGGGAAGTAATTAGTTTCTTCACCCAGCCTCTCTGTTTCTAGGGCATTTACCTTCCACCATCTCCACAAATCAGGACAGCATCACTAAGATAATAGTCAAATGAACTGATTAGGTTGCTTATAAAACAGCCTACATTACCATTATTCTTACAGTTCCTTAAAGAAACTTTATAAAAAGTTACATGATTAACTTGTCTAATCTAAGGGAGTCTTGGAATAAGTCAAGTCTGAACTCCGGCCAGAAGCAGATATTTATTTATTTTGTGTCAAAAGCATTGCATTAATAAATTAGTATAGAACTGATAAAATAGAGGGCACACAATTGGCTAAATAATCTGAGACCAAAAACAGGCAACAGCAACCACATTGTCTGGAGCTTTAAACAGTTCTTCCTCCATGCATGAGGCAGGGCATTGTGAGCAAGCATACAGATGCTGAGTTGTTTGTTCTGCTCCACAGTCGCACAAGGTGGAGGATTCTTCTAGGCAGTACCATTTAGGCAGGTTATCTTTTGATCTCTGTTCAGGGATTTCCAAATTGCCCATTCTTGGTTTGCCCATGAGATGACTAAATTGAGGCCGTCATACTTTGGTCAAAACACGAGAAGACATGACGCACACAAACAGAGGATAATACTTGGAAAGATGAATGGCAGTAGGAAAAGAAGAAGACTAGATTCCAGATGGATAGATTAAGTCAAGCAAGCCATGGCCCTAAACCTGCAAGTTCTGTGCAGGGCTGTTGGTAAGAGGGTAACTTGGAGGTCTCTCATTCATGGGGTGACCATAAGTCGAAGTTGGCTTCTAGGCAGTTAACAGCAACAAAAGGTGAGTACAGCTTTGAGGCCACAAGTTCTTTTGTGTGCCTCTTCTTTGTGCCTGCTTCATTGTGTTACTGCTGGAAATCTGGGCCAGTATAATAAAGATGCTTTGAGGACATAATGGCATACTGCAAACTTAAAATTGGTTTAATACTCATTACTTCTCTCCGGGGAACCATCAGAGCTATAGCTGTATGATTGCCGCTTTGGAACAACAGATCGCTTGCAGCCTTAACATCCTACAACAGTGCCTAGACTGCTTTTGCAGAAATATGGTCCTTCTCTTTAGCATCTAATAATAATAATAATAATAATAATAATAATAATAATAATAATAATAATAACACTTTATTTATATTCCGCCCTTCTCACCCCAAAAGGAATTCAGGGCAGATCACAATACACATACACAGCAAACATTCAATGCTGCTTTGTATAGACAATACACAGACAGACAGGACAGAAGGAGGTGCCGTGGAAGGTTGGGCTCAAGTCCAGGGGGTGCTGTTGCTCTATCCTCTATGATGAAGAGCCGTCAGGACTTCCTCCTTCCTTTTGGTCACACAGCATTTTTCTTTCTGATCTTCTTTCTTTATGTCATTGTAAAACACCTCCCCTGCTTTTAACGGTACCTAATTTCTCTAATCACAGCTAAAGCTGTTTTCGAATTGCTTAGGTAATCAATGACCTAGGCTGACAGTTGGCAGCTCACACCAACCCAGGGCTTCGAACTTGCAACCTTTTGGTTGATAGATCTTATAATTGCTGATGATTTACCAGCTGTGCTAAACCTCTGGCACAAATTAGGAAATGAAGAAATTCCCACAATTTATTTATTTCTATTTATTTATTTTGAACATTTTTACCCCACCCTTCTCAACCCATAGGGGGACTCAGGGTGGCTTCCAATTAGCAATAATTCAATGCTGCATCATAAAATACAAAATAGCAAATATAACAATTAAAAACATGAACATTAATAAATAAAGATTAAACAGTATTCTTACGATTTATTCAGCTATTGCCAGTCTGGTGGCTATTTATCTAGCCATATACTAATTATTACTCCGCTTAACTTATCCAAATCCACTTCCAAGCCATAGTCAAATAGTATCAATTGTCCTTTAACCTAATTGCCCGAAGGCCTGGTCCCACAGCCACGTTACTGGCCATAACATTTCTATGGGGTAAGAAGTTGGGTTTTGGGTTTTTGTTTTTTTTTTTGGCAGAAATTCACACAAAATCTATAGGCAAGATAACTGATAGTGTGGTTCATATGTCCGGCACTGTAATTCTCATAACTCCTTTATCTGGAAGCATCCTTACCTGAACAGGTTTCATGCAATAGCTCAGAAGTCTTCCACAGTCCTCCATTGTGTTTTTTGCAAACTTCAATGATCTTTCCTTGGAATACAAACTGATTTATTTGGTGATGCCCATTATTTAGAAGTAGAATCCTGCCACATCTCAACTTTCTGGGTGCGTCTACACTAGAGAATTAATGCAGTTTGACACCACTATAACTGTCATGACTCAATGCTATGGAGTTCTGGGATTTTTAGATTGGTGAGGCACCAGCACTCTTTGGTATAGAAGGCTAAAGACCTTGTGAAACTACCACTTCCAGGATTCCAAAGTACTGAGCCATGACAAGCAAAGTGATGTCAAATAGCATTAATTCTATGGTGTAGATGTA